CACTCCGCAAACCTCCCAAAAACGGCCCAATTTTTGCGAAAACGGGCCTTCCCCCCCCCCAAAAGGCATGAATAGCCTTGGGGGGGCTTGCAGAGGGTTCCGGGGGGGGGGGGGGAAATGAGCAAAGAACCACCCATTTTTCACAAAAACGGGCCTTTTTTGTCAAAAAAAATTGCATACATAGCCTTATGGAAGCTTAGAGTGCTGCTGGGGGAGCAAAAAACGGCCCGTTTTTTGCTCATTTCTTCCCTCCCCAGCCCCAAGGAGCTCGCTAAAAGCCTCCATAAGGGCCTGCACAGCCGTTTTGGTGAAGGGGCAGGGCTTCGAGAGACAAAAAATGCTGTATTCAGTGTATAAGATGCACCCAGATTTTCAGCCTCTTTTTTGAGGAAAAAAAGGTGTGTCTTATACACCGAAAAATATGGTAATGATCTCTTTCACTGAATGCAGCTAAAAGTACGGCACACAACTGAGATTAAATCTGAGGTCAAAAGAAATGAATGATTAAATATTAACTTTTCATGTAACCACGATAAGAAAACCCAGTTTTCTTCTAAGAGAAGAAAAGGGTGTTTTAAAAATGTATGTTTTAAGGGGATTGGTAAATCTATGTGCAATTAATGATCTCATGTAGCGTATTTTTCAGAGTATAAGTCGCACCTTTTTCCCTCAAAAAAGAGGCTGAAAATCTGGGTGCATCTTATACACTGAATACAGCATTTTTTGCCTCCCCAAACCCCTCCCCCTTCACCAAAATGGCTGTGTACAGCCTTATGGAGGCTTTCAGAGAGCTCCTGGGGTCAGGGGAGGGCAAAAATGAGCAAACAATGGGTCATTTTTTGCTCAATTATCCCCCCCAGCCCCAGGAGCACTCTATAAGCTTCCATAAGACTATCCATGCCGTTTTTGTGACGAAAAACGGGCCCATTTTTGTGAAAAACAGACCATTTTTGCTCATTTTTGGGGGAGTCACCCCTTGGAACACTCTACAAGCCTCCTAAAGGCTATCCATGCCCTTTGGGGGGGGGGAAGGGCCCGTTTTCACGAAAAACAGGTCATTTTGGGGAGGTTTGCAGAATGCATTAAGTTTTTTTTTTTAATTTGTCTCTTCAAAACCTATACTCTGGTGCGTCTTATACTCAGAAAAATATGGTAGTTTTCATAGTGACATAAACTGAACAATTTATCTCCCATGAAAATAGAAATAACATTGTTTTTTATCCTCAGGCTGCTGAGTCAAAAGAAGTGGAAAGATTGAGTTGCGAGCTAAGCCCTTGCTGATATTAATAGTAACCAAAACATTTGTAGATCAGTTTGTATTAGTGTATTATCTGCACAGATTTTCTGTTTTTAGTTATTACAACAGAAAGACAGCTAATGTCAAAAGCTCAGACAACTCCACAAAATCTAGGAAACCAAAATATTTCATAGCAACTCAATCCTAATCATGACTGAAGAATGCCAAAATCATATTAAGAAAGAGTGACATTCGTATATTTTCAGCACAGTGGCAGAAAATTCATCTCAGTGATCAAATTGCACTAAATAAATACATGAAGATCTAAATTTTATAAAGGCTGGTCTATGGAACTCTTTTAAAATCAACTGAAAGAATCCAAATAATGGTGTACAATTAGAAATGAAACCCTCCAAGTTAAAATAATTCAAAAGATAAAACACAATTCCCCCCTTCCCTGCAAAAACACAAGAAATGTGTAGCTGTATACTTTGTAACACGTTGCATAGTTTTCAATATCTTTATAAATACTCTTTTCTTTTTGAATAGATTGCGCAGCCTCATCTAGTCTGCAAAACAAAAATGAGCAAGAAAGGTTTATTTAAATATGCAGGAATCAGAAGGTCAAGATTACCCAATTTCCCAAATAAATGTACTATTTCAATGGAAAAAAACAAGAATATGCTGAGCTCATATTAAAACTGCAGTTAAAGTATACAAACTCCTGCAGAAATGAACATTCAGGCCTTATTTATATACACAAATATGATATATTGTAACCAAATATATTAAGAGTGCCTCTTTCTTATGTTTACATAAACAAAAAGCTTTTAATGAAGAAAAATATTTTGTAGTCATAATAATCCTAATTAAGCACAAAAACCAAAAGGTCTTCTTCTCAAAACCAGATTCCTTGGTTCAGCTTTTTTTTTTTAAAAAAAAATGTTAAAATATGAATTATGTTGCACAGTGGAACAGCTGATACTTGAATAATATGGCATAACCCAGGGATCCCCAATGTATCCCCGGTCTATGAACCGGCACTGGGCCACGACATACCAGAAACCAGGCCGCACAAACAAGCACAGCCCCATCCGTGGGATGAAAGCAGCATGCAAAACCACACCCCCTCTGGTCCAAGGAAAAACCTTTCTCCACGGAATTGATCCCTGTTACCCAAAAGGTTGGCGGCCACTGTCATAACCCAATAATATTTGTATTACTACAATGAATTTATCAAATAAGCTAGAACTGGTTTTTCTGATCTTGAAAACAACAACATATAAGATGCACACCTTCGGCCTCTAACTAAAAGCCTTGAAGCCTTTCCATACATTTCAACTGCTTGCCGTAAACGTTCTTCATTCTGAGTAAAAAAACAAAAACAAAAGCATAAGCAAAGTTTAAGTGGTTGATTTTAATGAAAGTTTTCTGAATTATTTGAACTAACTCAGATTGAAATACCTATCATTTCCCAAATACATTTCTCTCATATTAAACAAAGTTTGATCAGGTTATTAATTAAATACAATTTTATGAACTAGATGATATAACCTATGACCACATTATGTATCATGCATCACACATCATACTACATCTGCTCCACACTTCCCTGTCCCATATGCCTAAATTACTTTTCAATTTCTCAAATGGCTTCTTTTAAAAATATCTCAGACATACCATCATTTGTCAGTGTAGACAAATCAAGAAGCTAAACCACTAATGTCAAACCTTTTCAACTCAATGTGAAAAGTTCAGAAAATGACTCTGCTGGCCTCTCACACACAATCAGGACAAAGAAACAATTCTATATGTTCATCCCCTAACATTTAGGGCAGTGTTTCTCAACCTTGGCGACTTTAAGTCCTGGGGACTTCAACTCCCAGAATTCAACTGGAAGTTGAAGTCCCCAGGACTTAAAGTCACCAAGGTTGAGAAACACTGATCTAGGGCAATCTGAACAGTGGTACTCAGTGGCAGCGCTAAAGCTGGACCTGAAGTCTAGGCCCAGTCCTTGATTTTAGCCCTAGTGTCATCACTGCCACTCAAGACATGTGAGCCTTGGAAAATGGTATGATTGCCCACATGGCCCAGTGTTCCCCAGGCTCTGCCACGTGCCTTTCAGGTGGTGTTTTCTTTCTGTTGATAAGGCCCTATGGCCTAGAGTAGGCTGCTCTGAGTTGCATGAGGCCTTTGTTTTTAAAGAAAGCTCTTCAGAGAATGCGCTTCCACGAACTATGCAGCCTCTAAAAACCACACAAAAGCACAACCCATTATCATGTGATTTTTAGAAGCTCCAGAGGCTGTGCAAGAACAGAGGCAAGTCAGAGCACACCCTATTATCATGTGGCTTCCAAAAATTGCACAAGAACAGGGCATGCTTTCGAGAATAGTTGTTGATGTACCCCTTGGGGGGACTATATTAAATTGAGGCTTGCTTATTTACAACAAAGGATAGTTTAATGCAATGTGCTTAGAAGACACATTGTTGTAAATAGTAAGCAAGCCAGATATTGCATTTTTAGAAAACTGTTGAGAAATCTTTTGATGAGGTGGAGAAAGATAGCTCATAGCCAGATTTAGTTCCACTGACCTAGCCAGTTTAGATTTTGCCATTCCTCCCTACAGCTAACTTGCACTATACATAAAATAAATGACATTTTCAAACAGAAGCAGGAAAAGTCATGCGAAGATAGCTTCTACCACATCAACTTGTCCATTAATACGTAGCAATAACTGGCATGAAAATAGTAATATATACAATACATGCTTTGAAAACAGCCTAGCTTTTAATATTCACCTTTTTGCAACAGTGGACCAACTGATCATTTTCAGCATTCTTAGTTAAAAAGTATTTTATTTTAGTTTCAGAGGACTTACTTCAAATACTGAAGCTGTTTGCTGATATAGCTGTATAGCTTTGTCTGGATTTATGTTTTCTATTACCCTAAAATAAAAGAGTCAACATTATTACTCAGTTACTCAAAGAACTAAAGAGATCTGCCTTCTATTCCAGATAAGAAACTAATAGCTTAAGATTTCAGACTTACTTTCCAGCCCGATCAAGTGCAATAGCAGCTGTGTCAGGGGTTCCATTCTCCAGGTACATCATGCTGGCTTTCTGAATCAGTTCCACTGCATCATGATGTTTTTGCATCTCCTGAAGATGAAAGAAAAAGATTTTAGATTTAGATTTTAGATTTTATTAGAATTTATAGGCCGCCCTTTTCCCTGAGGGGACTCAGGGCGGCTTACATAAAATAAGGAAGGGAGGGTACAAGACAATAAACGCAAAAACAATACATAGAAGTAAAATAGTAAACAACATTCATTCATCATTCGGGTGGGGACA